CTGTTTATATGTGTGCTCATATCTCTATCAAACACACGTTTTCTTTCTGGCATTACGATGAAATTCTTTGTTTCTAGAAACACAGTTATATTATTAATGGGAGACACACTTCCTTGGCACATGGAGAGGTTTAACATAGTCTTCTTAATTTCAAATTCTTTTATTTTTCAAAGTGATTAAAAAATCCTTTCTTGCAACTTCAATGTTTTCTGAGTTCTCTCATCCCCCTACTCTACCCTGATTGTACAGGTGTATTCTTTTTTCATTTTTTACCTATGAAAAGAAGTAAAGCATTTTATTGAAATAGACATGTCATGGATTTTACCTATAGGAAGAAAATGTAGGTTAATATTTTACTAGTAACAGTTTAAAGAGCTCCATATGTGTTAAATAAATCAGTTAATGAATAAGATTAACTTTTTTTTTTCTCCTTCACTAAAATGGCACTTACCTCCCAAACAAGCAACTGTCTGCCTAGTGGAGGGATGGCTTACAGTTTCACATAAAAGGATTTTTTTAAAAAATGGTAGCTATGCATACCTCTGAGGGAATAAATAGCACATTTGAGAGAGTAGGGGAAAAATGAGGTATTTCTAGTAAAATGTTTCTATTTACTTGGGCATATGAAGTAGTATTTCATCTTTTATTGACAAACTTTTAAAATCAAAATACATACAAGAAATGGTTTGCAATAAGACTTCTCCAAAGAGAATTAATAACAAAATTTTCCCATAGTAGGTTTTAATGTCTAAACTATTAGTAAGATTTCAGATGCTTGAAACACAATATTTCTTTTTTGTGTGATTTGTGAAGAGTTTGAATTATTAACCATTACTCCTGTGACAGATGTGCCCGGAGGTCAGGGAAGGTGCAGGCCCACCATTCATTGTAAACATGAGTAATGAGGCCACTCCTCGAGGAGAAATTTGGTTGTAAAGTTTTATTCTTTCAGACGAATTTTCTAAGCCAAATTTTAATCTTAATTAAAAACAATATTTAGGTCATCTGAGTTAAATAGACTTTAAAACTCCAGGCTTATGAAAGAGAATTCCTGCCTATGGAAATAGTTCCATGTACTATGAAAAAAGCATTAATTAAGTGACAGCACATCCATGTTAGATAGGGGGGAAAGTGTTCATTGGGATGTGATGACGCCTGCTCTTCAATTTCCTTTTTTATTTGTATTTTTAAGAAGCAGCCATGTTACCTAATGCCGAATACACCAACATCATAGAGTTGGCATTTAATGTCAATTACTCACCAAAAAGGAAACTTAAGTGGTGACTAATAAAGCACAGTGTTAGTGGTGATCTGAGTACATGAGGCAAAGGTGAAGTGATTGTTAAATTAATCATAAGGGGAAATATTGGAGTTTGAAATAAAGTCATTAGTGAGCATAGATACTGATGTTTTTAAAAGGCATTATAACCTGCCTTTGTGTTCACTTCAATTTGAGTTCATTGCCGAGTGACATACATAGATAGAGTGTAGGGCCCATCTCTGTCCTAGACTCAGTCTTTCTGTGTTTTAGCTCCCTACTCCACCCCCATGTTGAAACAGATACATTTTTCGTATTGTTAAAAAGTACAGGTGACAATGTCCATAGCTGTGATTTTTTTTCTATTTATTTTAGCATAAAGATTGCCAAGAGACTAAAATTGTGCCAAGATATAAAAATTTAGCATATTTTCTCAACCTTGAGGAAACTAGAGAAAAGGTTCAGGTTGTACCTTTGTTGTCTTAAAGAAGCTCTGGCAGCATCTAGCATTGCCTTACTGTCCCCAAAGTAACTTAGCAAATGGGTATATGTTACTCAGAAATGAGAACAACACAGAAAAGGAGCTGTGTATGAATGAGCTGCATTGCAGGAATACACACCAGAGCAGCCCCCTGCAAGTATAGGAGGCGGTACTATTAGAGGAACTGGATCAGGGTCAGACCTGGACTGGAGTCTTATTTCTGCCACTTAACTAGCTTTGTGTCACTGGGCAATTCTCCTAACTTCTTGGAGTCTTAGTTTCCTCATCTGAAATTGGTTATTTTGAGGGTAATGAAGTAATGGCAGTGCCTGTTGCATCGTTAGTGTTCAGTAAATCGAACATGTTATGATTGTTTTTGTTTTTATCACCATACCAAGAAAAAAGCAGTGCAGCTAGAAACAATGTGGTAAGTGCACCAGGCCCTCTTGTTGGCATCACTCCTCACACACCCCTTGCTTCCCACTATATTCTCCAGCCTGTCTCCCACCTAAGACAAGGATTCCCTTGGCTCTTTGAAGTTTAGTTTTTCCTTCTGGCTGGCTCAGTGCACAGCAGGTGCTCCTTATGTGTTGAAAAATCACTTAATGGATAAGAGATGCTCTCTGTTAATAAGTAAAACATTTTCTTAGAATTTACAAAATAATATTCAAAAGGAAGTATCAATATAGTTTTTTGGTGGCAAAGCTCTCTTATATAAGGCAAATGTGTGACTGTCAATCAAGTGTCAAGCAGATAGTATGTTCAGTTTGTTGCTAGGATACAACTGTATTAATTTGGCCCTTGAAGTACAGCAGGTCCTCCAGTAACATTTTATTTCACATCCTTATGGTCTGATGATGATAAGATGCTGTAGAAACTTTGCTCTTGTTTATATCATTAGCCCATGATAAATTAGTTTCATTATCCATTATTTTACATAAAGTTAAGAACCTATCTGGGACATTAAGTGAGGACTTACCTGTTGGGCATACAAAACAAACATGTAGGAAGATACACAGTGTACAGAATCGGCAACTCTGTCTACATTATCTCACACTGCTTTAACCTCTTTTCAAAACTGCAAGATTATTTGGTAAATAATGTTATAGAAAATATCCTAAGGTAGTATGTGGTGATTTGCCAGTGGAGTCACAAAGCCAGTTACTTTGGGCAGATGAAGGAAATATCCCACATTCTAGTACGTGTAGTAAAATGCAAATGGGAACATTATTAACTAAAAAAGAAACGAAGTTTGCTGCAGGTTGAATTGACCAGCAAAGCTGTGGAGATTATAGAGTGAATGTACAGTAATTAGACACTTAGAAGAAAGGGGTTAAAAGATTTTAAGGCAAGCTGTGTATATTTGGTAAATGAAAGTAGAATTGTTTTCTCTGTGCCTTGGCCAGGACTTTAGAGGCACTGTTAACGGAACAGGGAATACAGATCCTTAACAAGAGGAAAGAGACCACTCCATGTAGAGGAAAAATGAGCTTTTGTGTCAGAAGACAAAACCTACATGGAAATATAAGAAGTAGTGCTGTTTTACTAAAGTGGTAACTACAAAGATGCCAGTTCTGTTCCATCACTGCTTGCTGTGGCTGACTCCTTGCCTTCATTTCCCTTTAAAGTTGGCTTATCAAAAACAAACAGAAACTTGGTATTAATCCCAAATTTCACAAACTTGCAACTTAACTGTTTTCTTGTTGTCTCAGTTTGATAGACAACAAGTATGGTATTAAACCTTATTCTTTATGATCCTAAAATCATTACATCATTCCCTCTATAACTTCTGGAAGTGACACAAGAAGATGGAAGGCTTTTGTGGCTGATAAAATTAAACTTCATTTCATTAGTCATTGTAAAATTATGAACAAGGAAGGAATGGCATTGAACAAAAACATGACATCTTTCAAGTGTGGCAGGATAGATGTACCACACACAGATAGTGTGAAGCAGTATGAGATAATGTAGACAGAGTTGCCAGTTCTGTACACTGTGTATCTTATGTTTGTTTTGTATGCCCAAACTAAACGACAGTTGTCTCATCAAAGATTCTTTATGAAAGTACTTCCTTACAGAAAGTTAGGTGGAGAAGCCCTGTCTAGAAACACGTATTAGAGAACCGCCACAGATTGTTATTGGAAACTAATATATGGGTTCATTATCTCATGACAAGTCAAATTCAGATTATGAATATTTCATCAGTGGAAGGGGAAACTAATTGTTCTATTTTTGAGTTCTTATATTTTGCCTAAAACTAATTAGTAGAACAGAATTCTTTCCATAATTAACATTCTCTCAGTTTAAAATAATTTTAAGTTTCAAGAATCTCCCTGTACTTAAAAGAAAAAAAAAACTTCCATAGTTATTGTTTATTTTAGTTCAAAGCTACTGTATAAATGAAATCTATTTTACAGAATTTTCAGGGCCAAAGAAAGGTACTTTGGAGCTTCATTCTTAAGTGAATATTTGATAAATCAATTTGAAGGAACCACAAAAAAGAACATTTCTAACCTCATAGTACAGAAGCATCAGAAGAGATGGCTTTATTGAAAGGAGTCCTTCACATTCAGGTGTGCTGAGTCACCTGGCGGGATGAGCTGGACATAAGCTCACCAGGCAGTCAGGGGTGGGAGGGACATATTTGTGTCCATAAAAGAGTCACATTAAAACAACTACCTTGATTGTTTGTGTGATTTTTAATTCTAGTTTTAGAAGAAATAAAAATAGATCTTAATCTATATTTTATTCCATATAATTGTAGAATTTGTTTACTGATAAAGGAGTTTACTTGGAAAAGTTCCTCTTAAGAGGTTAGCACGTTTTCTTCTCAATTATGTAAGTTATCTCAGATTTTTTTTTTTAGAAACATCACAATATGCGAGTACTATTTTAAAACTTAACAACCAGAGGCAATCTGTCATTTCCTTCCTGTACAGTGCCATCCGCATATGCCCTGTCCCGCCCTACCATATCTCCTCCTCAAAACAGCCGTCCTCTTTTACCCCAGGGCAGATGGTGCTGGTTTTTCTCTCGCTCTCCTGGACCACATATTAATTACTCTACCCATAGGTCTCAGTAGGGATTTGTCCTTTACAGTTTCACAGTCTCGGGCATTTACTTCCTTTTTAAGATCACAAACTCTTTGAAGGAAAACTGTGTCTTATTCATACCTCTATACCCTAAATGCTTAGTATAGTTCCTGTTCATAATTGGTAAATATTTACCAAGTGCATAACTATTTCTTTTCATGTATCACAGGTTACCTAGAAGACCCCTACTCCATTCAGTGGGAGCAGCTGGAGAGATTTACCCTGGACAGAACAAAAGGAAGACTTTTGATGGATTTTAAAATCACAGTTTGAAAGCATTTGAGAATCCTGGGAAGATAGTTTGTTCTCCTGCTCTGCACAGATAGGTTAAGGCTGTTTCTGATGCAGCTGAGAAAAATGCAGACCATCAAGAAGGAGCAGGCATCTCTTGATCCTGGTAGCAGTGCGGACAAGGTGATGGTGCTTAACTCTGCTTTAACTGAAGTCTCAGAAGACTTGACTACAGGAGAAGAGCTTCTTCTAAGTGAAGGAAGTGTGGGGAAAAACAAATCTTCAGCATGCCGGAGGAAACGGGAATTTATTCCCGATGAAAAGAAAGATGCTATGTATTGGGAAAAAAGGCGGAAAAATAATGAAGCTGCCAAGAGATCACGGGAGAAACGTCGACTGAATGACCTGGTTTTAGAGAACAAACTAATTGCACTGGGAGAAGAAAACGCCACTTTAAAAGCTGAACTGCTGTCCTTAAAATTAAAGTTTGGTTTAATTAGCTCTACAGTATATGCTCAAGAGATTCAGAAACTCAGTAATTCTACAGCAGTATACTTTCAAGACTACCAAACCTCCAAATCCAGCGTGAGTCCCTTTGTGGACGAGCACGAGCCCTCAGCAGTGGCTAGCAGCTGCATATCCGTCATTAAGCACTCTCCACAGAGCTCTCTGTCTGATGTGTCAGAAGTCTCCTCGCTAGAACATTCACAGGAGGGCCCTGTGCAGAGTGGCTGCCAAAGCCCTGACAGCAATTTCCAAGTCATCAAGCAGGAGCCGGTGGAATTGGAGAACTATGCAAGAGAGCCGAGAGATGACCGAGGTGCCTACCGAGCGTCCGTGTACCAGAACTACGTGGGGAATTCTTTTCCTGGCTACTCACACTCCCCACCTCTACTTCAGGTCAGCCGGTCCTCCAGTAACTCTCCGAGAACATCGGAAACCGATGATGGTGCGGTGGGAAAGTCATCGGATGGAGAAGATGAGCAGCAGGTTCCCAAGGGCCCAATCCACTCTCCTGTTGAACTTCAGCATGGACATGCCACAGTGGTTAAAGTTCCAGAAGTGAATTCCTCTGCTTTGCCACACAAGCTCCGGATTAAAGCCAGAGCCATGCAGATAAAAGTAGAGGCATTTGATAATGAATTCGATGCCACACAAAAACTTTCCTTGCCTGCCGATGTGACATCTAAGAGACAATTTGAACTTGAGAAGCATAGTTCCCCAAATATGGTACATTCTTCTCTCACTCCTTTTTCGGTGCAAGTGACTAACATCCAAGATTGGTCTCTCAGACCAGAACACTGGCATCAAAAAGAACTTACTGGCAAAACTCAGAATAGTTTAAAAACTGGAGTTGTTGAAATGAAAGACAGTGGCTACAAAGTTTCTGACCCAGAGAATTTGTTTTTGAAGCAGGGGATAGCAAACTTAACTGCAGAGATGGTCTCCCTTAAGAGACTTATAGCCACACACCAAATCTCTGCTTCAGACTCTGGGTAAATTACTACTGAACAAGCCCTGGGCATTTAGAGGTGTCATTTGCAATAGATGAGTACATTTTGTGTTAGGCTGAATTTTCACTGGGCCTGTGATGTCATTTCACTGTAATGTTCACATGTTCTCTGTCAGGTGTCTTTTTGTGCACAAATTATTATGAAGATTAGATTGTGTTATCACTCTGCCTTGTGTATAGTCAAATAGTCCATGCAAAGGCTGTATATATTGAACATTATTTTTCTTGTTCTATTATAAAGTGTGTAAGTTACCTGTTTCAATAAAGGATTGGTGACAAACACAATTTCTGCTCTTGATTTTAGGGTAAAGAAAAATCCATTTAGATATTAAAGTATCCTGTAGTTTACTTATTGAGGGGAGTTTTCGCCCTTGAGTAAGGGAAACCTGAAGTATAAGTTGAACAGATAATTTGTTTTTCTCTTAATTTGGCTCAGGCTGTAAGTTTGAAAACCTTCCAAAGAGAGAGGGGAGGGGAATAATGAATTTTTTCACATTTGAGACTACTTGGTTAATTTACTCGCCATTATTTGTTTTTCTTTAAAGTTAAGTTTTTTCTGTAACTTTTTTTAAAACAGAAAAATCTAAGTTTGGCATCAGCCTGTCTTTAGTCACCTCTCTTTTAAGTATGACACATGGGTGTGAATAGTTGAGTAACTGACCCACTTTATTAATTAGAGGTCTTTTTTTAAAGAGTGAATAAAGACTAAGGATGAAGTCATTTTTAAAATTTTATCGTAAATCTTAACAGTTCTAGAGTATAACCGTTTAGGGAATTAACCTAATGGAATTGTTTTTATTTAGTTTCCAAAATTTCAAAGAATACATCAGTTACCACATTCCAATATACATGGTCTATGTATATATAAAGACTGTTTTTCTTTTTTATTATTTTTTAACAAAGCATATAAATAAAAGCTCTAGTTTGGAAAACTTTATAATACACAAGTCCAGAAGAAAGTCTTATTCTAAGTAAACTGATGATAAAACTATTATGGTAATTTGTTAAGGATCCTCCACTGATGCCTCAAGTGCTGTTGAACACAGACTGTATTTCTTTTCAGAGGCACATGGGTGGGGTGGAGGGTGTGGGTGCTGTTGATCAGGTATAGCTTTGTTCATAGCTATTCCTCTAAGAACTGTTTCTTTCCACACTGACCTCTTTTCTATTCTAGAAGTAGGTGAAGGAACTTGAGGTATCATAGAACACGTGTAAAGTGACTTACCTGTATGTCATGGTGTCTCCTAAGAAGAGCCCACCTGTAACATTTCATTTTAAGATGAGCAGTCTTTTGACTGCTCAATTTGAGTAAAAGTCTGACTTTTGTTATGTTAAACTTCCTGTACTTTTATATTTAAAAAAAATGTTCCTTTGAATTAAAGGCAGTACCAGTTAGACACACAGCCATTCACTTTGTCCTTTTGGCGACACTGACAAATGTTCTCTCTGAAATCTCCTAGCTCTTAGAGAAATGTGCTGCCAATATTGGCCTTGGCCTTCTCTCTTCAGTGTTTCACTAGTGACTGGGTAGGGCCCAGAAGCAAACCCATTTTATTCGCCAATGTTACAGAGCACAGGAAGGCTAAAACAATTGGGTGCCAATCAAAATCCAAAGGAATTTGACAGCCTAGAATAGATGAAATGACTCTGACAACATGAATTATAATAGGAACACAGTGTAAAGTTAGGCTCCTATGTTAAACAGAAATTTTTAAAGGATGTCCAAGTTCACCATTGGGGGGCGGAGGGAAACAATAAAATAACTATAAATGTGGAGGGGGAAAAAGCTTCAGTTACCATGAATCAAGTCCCAGTGGAGTGTTGGTTATGGCAACATAATGTCCAAGCGCAAAGACAACTGTCTTATCCCACTGGATACACCCAGGCGGAGAGGTGTAGCAGTGAGTGTTCGGAGGCAACCAGCAGAAATGGATGATTTCACAGCTGTGAATGGGTGAACATACTAAGAAAACTTGAGCCCTGACTGGTAGGGCTCAGTGGCTTGAGTACTGGCCTGGGAACCAAAGGGTCTCCTGTTCAATTCCCAGTCAGGGCACATGCCTGAGCCCCAGTAGGGGGCATGTGAAAGGTAATCGCACATTGATGTTTCTCTCTTTGTCTCCCTCCCTCTCTCTAAAAATAAATAAAATCTTAAAAAAGAAAACTTGATAAATTGCCCCCAAAGGGGACAAACCTGAGGTACTGTAAAAGTAAAAACGGATGGACAACAGCAAGAGAGGCAGATCATGAGTTCTTGCAGGAAGAGCTGTAGGGGTTGCAGCGGCGCAGGCCAGGCAGCCTACTGGGGTGGCTTCCGCATGAACTGTTAATATTGGCTGTCGAAGTGAATGCGTCACACCTGGATGCCTTCTTCCTTAGTCATTTTTCCTTATGATTTCAAGGATCTGAAAGATACTGGGGTGATGTTCAAAATGTTACTCCTTAAAAATAAAAGGATATAGAAACTAGCAATTCCCCTACATTAGGAACCAGAGAAATAGATTACACTACAATACTTCTGTTTCATGATGTGAACTGAGGAATGCTGCTGCCTCCCCTTCCTACTCACAAAGTTCTAAAATGATATAAAATGTGTTTAAAGCCAAATATATAACTGCTCAAATGTAAGAAGTCTCAGAATACAAGAAGTCTTAAGAATTCCCAGAAAGATGGCTGCCAGGTGGGCCTCAATAGGGAAGAAGCTGCAGCTGGCAAAACAGAAAAACAGAGGCCTCCAAGGGCAAGCCCCACTGGACACAAGAGGGGATCCAGACAGTCAACAGTGGGCTCATTGGGACATTGCAGTAGAAACCACACATTTCCCTCCGGTGTGCACAGGACAGGTGAGTGGAAGCAGGGAGGATGATGTGCGGACTCACAGAGGTGAGGCCTTGTCCCTCAGCCCACAGTTCCCTGTGGAATGCAGGCGTAACATCTCCACATGGCCCACTCAGCAGCACATCCTTCTTGTGTCCAACAGTCTCTCATTGTTAATATTATTTTATTACTATACCTGTTCTGTAAAGGAGAACATTGAGACTCAGGGGTTAACTCACCAAAACTCAATAGCAGCTAGAACCCAGGCCACAAGGAAGTAGGAAAAAGCAGGCCAGTGAGCAAAATGCCCCCTGACACTGGAGTCCTTTTCACGATATGACCGAGGGACATAAGCCTGGAAAGGAGTCCACAGAAGAGAAGCGGGGAGTCTAAGGAAGTGTCTGTGGCTTTTTTCTGTTAGTAAAACTTCTATCTGAGCATCTACTTTTCCATTGCTTAATAGTTGTGTACTAACTCAATTTTTCATCTTCAAGAAACAAATACTCCCAAATGAAAACAGCCACATCTGTGTAGATCTTCCCATTCACATGGGTGTTCATACATATTGCCTCTTCTGAAGTCCAATTTCTAATAAACAGGTCCCATTAAACTGGTAGCTATTCAACTTATTTTTAAAAACCAGACATCTTTCAAAAATGAGAATCATTGGTGGCAGCCACTTGATGTTTAGGTTTTTAGTGGGGTTGAGGGCAGGGATTGGGGTTTGTTTAGGGAGAACAATGGTTGAAATTATTTGTACAGTGGCCCACAAGCTGCATGCACCAAAAAAATTTAAATGAGAAAAACTTGCTAAGAATGTAAAATTGTAAGATACGCAGGAACAGAGAAATAAAGGGAAACTCAATTATGAACTGCATTCTAATTAGAAGCATGAACTAGGGTGTCTTCATGGAAGGTGACATAAAATTGGGCAGGTTTAAAGACTGGCAGTATTTTCCACAGAGGCAGCTGAGACTGCTTCTGATGGTCATGAGAAAAATGAGTCAAGGGCTAATGGAGATAAGAGGGAGCAGTCTTGACAAAGGAGAACAGGTAACAATAGGAGGTGACAAAGACCGCTACTTACGTAGTCAGAAGGACCTCCGGCTATTGTTGCTGCTGAGTCATCATGCAAGGGACTGTCCAGGAGTGATGGCGATGTTGAGTATGATAATAATGAATGACAGACAAGTAGAGGACTTCATAAAGTAAAGTAAATAAGCAAAGTAACCCAAGCAGGTATAACTGCCATTTTTTGATACCTCCGTTTTGTTACTTTGGGGAAAGTGCTTGAACGAAGTCCAAGGTGCTGGAGGTCAAGAATAGGCCCTTTTGAAAGTGCACATGTGTGAATTCCGAGGATAGGAAAAGGGGGTTGGGGGTGGGCAGGAAGTCATCCAGCCACAATATACAGCAATTTAACAGAAGGGAGATGAGGAACAGGAGAAACCTCAGAATGAAACCACCCTTGAAGTAGGCAGATAGTTCAGTGTAACAAGAATTTTAAAAAGTTATTCTAACAGCTGTGCCAGATTTCCCACGAAAGAGGGAACTTCCTTTTTGAGAAAATAACTTTGGTGCACTACTCAGCTTATAGGAAAATGCTAAAAAATGATGTCAGCAGATCCTGGGTGCCAAGAGAAGGAGAGAGATTGCTCTGCTGAGAGAGGCAATGGGATCCTGCTTTGTGCTTCTCAGAGGATTGGGAGCTTGGGGGCTACTTTCTACAGGAGGAGGGGAGAGAGAAAAAAGAGAAGGGAAGAAAGGAGACAGGAGGGGACACTGCTGAATATGAGCAAAGACATTTCTTCCATTTCCTCCTCAAATTGTTAGTCCCACCAGACTCTCCATGCTTTGTGTGAGTGGATTTTTGGGTGTTTGCAGAACTTCATATCTGGGTCAGCACTGCAGAGCAAGGCAGCCCTTCTAGGAGCCAGTGCCAAAGTGGGTGATGGTGAAGGCTGAGGTCCTGGGACCTGCAGAGCCCATAGGGGCCTTGGACCTTTACAACCATGCAGCTGAGGCTGAGGGACCACCTGCGGATCTCGGGGTTTAGGGAGGCCTGCTAATGATCAATAAATAGGAATTGCCTGTGTGTACCCAGTGTTGTGCTACCTTCTGTGGAGGAAACAGCAAAAAGAAACAATATCTTCTGTTAAAGAATTTTGAACTTGGTTGTGAAAAAAAGACCAAAACACTAGCAGTGGTATAGCCAATACACATTATTACCAAGAGGTAGAATATGTGGGGAACAGATGCCTCTGAAAGGAGCTCAGAAAACAGACTGCAGTCACAGTGGGAACCCAAGGGACATCTGTGTGAATGGAACTGGGCTGCAGAGGTCATTAGAACTTGGACAAAAAGAAGTGCAGAAAGCAGGAATCTCACTGCCATCAGGGAAGTAGTGAAGGTACTCTGCATCCCTGGAGAAGTGAATTTATTTAGAGGATTGGTTAAAAAATAATAAT